GGGTCAGGCAGATGCATCCCTAGGGCCAGGCTGCCTCCTAGCAAGGGAAAAATCTAATCTAAGATAGATAGTAAGAGAAAGATCCTAAGGAAGCACTTAGTAGGTCACTGCATTTTAACCATAACGTCTCGCTTTACAAGCACAGCATGAGATCTGGGAACTTTCCCTGTAGAAGGTTTAAATGAAGTAGCAGCTGCTTGTGCTGGACTTTGGTAAGAGCAAACAGAATTCAGTCTTGGGGACAGCTCAGCTGCTCCCACCGGGTCAAGACACCGTGTCTGTCAGGCTCAGACCTTTCCCCCAGTTTGACATTTCTCCTGCTGCTGTCTGCTCCCATTTCAGGTGGCACATTAGTAAAGAACAGCCCAAAGTACCCTTTCACAGCAAGACAGGGTCAAACGCTGTTTGAAACCACACGCTTCAAGGGGGAGGAATAACTGCAGGATCAGAAGGATCTGATGGCAGTGGGTTCTGCTCCTAGACAGCTCTATGGTTTGGGATACAAGATGTGTTGGAAGCAGACTCCCCAATCTGAACATCACTCCTGCATCCTCTGGAGGAAGCTCCCATTCACCCTAAACCACCCAGGGCTATGATACAATAAACTACTGCTACAGTGTCTGACAACTGCACCCACTGATGCTGCTGAAGCACATGGAGCAGAGCTAAGAGCACATTTAAGGCTGGACGAGCTCCGGCTCTGCTTGGCTGAGCTGCTTCTGTTGATGACAAGGTACCAGACAGTAGTAAAAGTTTATCATTTCCATGTCTGCTTTTTTTCCATTAACTCGTCATTTTCTGCGATCATAAAGCCAAGGGAAGATAAGTACCTGAGTTCAGAGCATGTGTTTGCTGACCAATTCTAGGACTGATAAGTTAATTGGCGTTACCCAACTTCAGAGCAGAACTGCAATGCTGAAATCTTCACAGCTGCTTCTTTTTTAATTTCTTCACGGGGAAAACTTCATGATGCTGCTTCTGAAAACGTGGGTGCTCCACTCACCTGGCTTCAGCCAGCCACACTGCATGCTCTTTCTCAATAAGGGGTCAGGATAAGAAATTAACATCAGAACACAATGCAAAGAACAGCAGAAGGCAGCTCAGAAACACATTTCTGATGGGAAGAATTTATTTGGGGGGAAGAAACTGGAATGCAGAAGGTTTTGCAGTGCTCACATTCAGAAAGAAGCCTGACAGGCTGCAGTAACTTCAGGTGATGTATTTCACAGCTTTTCCATAAGCATTTGGATCCATTTTCATCCCAAACCTCAAAGGCATACAGCATTGTGAGAACAGGAAGAAGGGAAAACCCTGCAAGCTGCCTTCTGAATTCTCTATGTCAGGGAGGAGAAATCTCTTTTCCAGTTCCTGGGTGTAAAATCAACCTGCACACATTTCCCATTACACACCCTTTCCCTGGAGCCAGCTCAACAGGCACAAAGCACACTGCTCTCCTCCTAGGAAGATCACAGCTGGGAGAGCACATGGTGGGCAACTTCATCCATCAAAGAAATAACCCAAAATTGGAACCAATGACAGTGAGGAGACAGACAGGGATTCTTAACTCATTTCCTCTCTCTACTGAAGTCCTCCTACTGAACTCTGTTGACACCAAGGAGTTTTATACTCTTAACTCTGACTCAAAGAAAGCCCATTTTTATGGCTATTTTGAGAAAGATATTCTTTCCAATGCTGTGCAATACCAATATACTAATTACACAATATGCTCTTCCCTTTGCTGGAGCCAAGCTAGCTGAGAAAATACACATCTCTTGCTTGTCATGCCATTAGAGGAATGCTTCTTCACGAGCCCACTGAAGGCTTTCACAAACAGGGACTTCAATCATGATTCTCTACATTGCCAAGAGGCCACCCACAGGAACCCAAACAATTACACTTTGGCCATACCCTCAGCCCTACTATTCCTTCCAACAGCCTGCCCTGGGGTTCTGCTGATCCACAGCACGTGGGAGAAGTCTTCAGCACCATCAGAGCCCTCAGTTCACAATGCAGCTCTTCCTTACCTTGATGGCACGACGCTGATGTGCCTGGGAGCCGTGATCAGTGACAGAATAAAAACGCAGAGGCGCTGCTGCTTCTTTACATACCAGTTAAAACAATGTTCCTTCCTTTAAAAAGTGCTTACAAATGAAATGTCCCGGGTTCTCCACTTCATGATTAAGTTAAATTTGCTCCTTTGCAGGTTGTAGCAATAAAGCCTTATAAGTCATAGTAATAATCCAGCTTTGCATCCACAGTTTTGCATCCTTTATCTGAATAAATCCTCTCCTCTCGGGGGAAGTAGGTCATCTCATCTGCTACTCTGCTTAAAATGTCTTCATCCACAGCATAGCCACGGGATTCGACCTCTACCCTGACACACATTTTCACATGTTTGTACTCCAGAGGCAGGAAGGGAACAAAGTAGTCAATGAGATTTCTATCAATCAAGGTGCTGTGCCAAAATCCACCTACAAAAGGAAAGAGAAAGGCTTTGTCACTGCTCCTCTTGTTAAACACTGCCAGGGGATGGATATCTACAAACCAGGAAGAATCCATCTGTGTTTTTAGGGCCCCACAAAGCACCAGTCAATCTAAAATTAGCCTCAAGGTATTGTCTCATTGTCATCTGCATTGATAGACATCATCTGCATTGTCTCAGACACACAAACTCTGTCTGCTGGATCTCTTCTGAATGTCTGCATTTAAGCCCTGCTCCCAGATGCTGGTCTCACAGCTTCACCTCTCACCCAGAGAAGATCCTATTTTTCCTGTTACCAGCTCTCACAAACCAGCTTGCCCTGCTCTTTTTTTTCTTTCCCAGAGCTTGCATCCAGCCTTATATTTCCTTTGTTTGCTTTCTGTTCAGCACATCAGTACTGAAGAGAACATCAATAGATGCACAGCACAGAATTCCCCCCACAGCCATCACACAAGGTGCAAATGGGTGTCCTTAGTTCTAATTCATCACAAGAGCTGTCCCATTGGCCACAGATTGCACTGTGGCTCCAGAGGCCGAAAACTGGAGACCACATAAAGCAGAAACCACCACTGTGAAATACAGTGCATGCACTGATGGCTGACTGACATTTTTACGGGACTCTGACGGCCTCAAAAGCGATCCCAACTTTACTCACTATTTTTGTTATTGAAGACAGACACAGACAGTGCGTTCTGCATGTCTGTGAGCTGTATATCTTCCCTTGCCTTCCCATTTCTCCAGAAATCGAGTGCCACCTCTGTTATCTTTTCAGCTCCTGCATTACTATGAAAAGAGAAAACAAAGGTTGTAATGAAGGCAGTTTTAAAAGGCACTGCGTGCACAGGACAGCAAACCCAGAGAGTTGCTCCTTACCTAAGGAATATGAAGATTGCTTGTCGGTACGACACTCCATCCAGAAGCTCATAATAGTCCAGAAATGGCTTGATGGCATCAATGAGTCCTGCGTGCATTTTGTCCATTTCATCAAATATGAAAATTGACCTGGGACAGATGCTCACATTTCCTCGAATCCATGACTGCAATTGGTCCTGAGTGCCATAGAAATAGGAGCAGCTGAGTTTGTATCGAAAAAACAGAAGGCAGGAATTCTGCTTTCTGTGTTTTGTACTCCTTTCAATTGCATTATTGCAATAGCTTGGTTTCTTGACTGAAACACAACTAACACTTCAAAATAACACTTAAAAAGGTTCTGAAAAATGAAGATACCCAGAGACAGGGGGAGACATGCGTGACATCTCAATAGAAAGATATTCCTGAAACACCGTCAAAAAGGAAAGGCTGAACATCAGGACAAAGGATGAGTACCAGGAGGAACAGCAACATGGAGCAGAGCCTTGCGAGGCAAACCAAGTGCTTCCAGCAGTGCTTTGGTCCAAGCATCCTCCAGCATCAAAACTACACTGACACTGTGAAACCCCACATGTAGTCATTGGAACAGGCAGAAGCAGAATTCAGCCCTCAGCCCTTAGTTCAAACCACTCACAAATTAAATGAGGACAACGATGAGTCCTCCTTAAAACACAGCACGCAAACCAAGGCTGTGCTATATTCTGAGATCCTCTCAAGATCTTCCAGCTCATTTCCCACCCTAACGATGCATTGCACCCCATCAGCGCCACCGCCCTCCCATTTCTACCTTGTAGAGGTTGATGCTGTGAGCGTGAGGGAAATGCAGCGTAGCCACGAACTGATGGACATAGTTACTCTTCAGCCCCCTCTTATAGATGCTCTCGGCGATGATTTTGCTGACGAAGTTCTTGCCGGTGCCCGTCCAGCCGTGCAGGGACAGCGCCAGCGGCTTCTTGGCCTGGGCGTTGCTGAGGAATCCCCGCACGGCCCTGACCACCACCCTGCTGACCAGGTGCTGTCCGAACAGCCTCCTGTCCAGGCTCTCCTGCAGGGCTGCGCAGCACACCGAGCCGTTAGCGGCGGGCAGAACCCCCGGCCTCATCCCGGCGCAGAACCGACGGGCCGCCCAGCCCCTCCCCGCTCCCCCTGCCCGTCCCGTACCGGCGGCGACGCGCTGCTCGTGCCGCTGGAGGCAGCACTCCCTGAAGTAGCAGTAGAGCCGCGGGTAGGAGATGATGCCGGTAAGGGCCGAGGCGGCGGCCCCGGCGATCGCCAAGCCCAGGCTGATGGGTTCCACGGCCCGCGCGGGCGGCGCGAGGAGCAGCAGCAGTGCCAGGCCCAGAGCCGCCCGCCGCGCTCCCCGCCACAGCTTCATGGCCGGCCCGGCCGCTTCCGGTCCGCCGCTTCCGGCCTGCAGCGCCGCTTCCGCCGCCGCCATCTTGAGCCAGGGCAGAGGCGGGGCTGGGGGCCGCCATGTCGGGCGGGGGTGACAGACGTCCCCCTGTGCCAATAGCGAAGTACGGAACGTGGCGCCCTCAGTCGAAAGAAGGGAGAAAGAGGCATCAAAAGAGCGATGTGTGCCGCCGTGCCTGCAGGAGGGTGCCGGGGAACAAGGCCGTCCGCGATTGCAGAAAGAACAACACGTCTGTTACAATGCAAAACGTTTTTATTAAGTCCCACCTTTTGCTTTCAGGCTCCTTCACATCACCCCCGGCCCCCAGCACAGAGCTCTGCACAGTGAAGCCTTGGGAACAAAGCAGCTCCTCCCCACGCTGTGTTCCAACCTGCTGCCTTTCAGCTCCCCCTTCCCGCTGCTGCTTTTAAAGGATACCTTACTTGTTTTTCTCCACACTTTTTAAGAAGGTGAAAGAATCTGTAACAGCACGTTCGTCTGCCCGCTGAAAAAATGCTCGCCGAGAAAGCTGATGTTATGATAAAATAAGCTTTATAGTGGAAAATAAGTTATATACAGGATTTTACCAACCAGAGTTCACAACCACCTGCAAACAGGTGAACACAAGAACACAAGAAAAGCTCTGCAGGTGACACCAACACGGGGAGGCAGCGATGCTCCCGTCCTCCATTTCACGGCACTGACACAAGATCCTCTATGAGAGACAGAGAGAACAAGCACTCCTGCAGAGGCCTCAGTCCACACCCTTCAGTATCGCCGATTCATCTTCTTGAATTTCTCATAGTGATAATCGTCCGTTGCTTTTTCATTGGGTGGACGTTTGCGATTTGGAGGAGAGCCTTCAGAAGAGAGAGAGACTGATCACATTTCCAGTCCTTTCCCTGATGTAACCGAGACATTTCCTTAACTGCAACCTTATGAACTCCTGTAAAGCCACACAACTGCAGTCCTTTGCTGTGTGAAAGCTTATTCTTCAGCAGTCAGTGCTCCCTAACCTAGCTTCCCTTGCCACCCCACCTTTCAGCAAACCCCTATCAGTCAGCTTGGTTAATGCATTTCTGTTGTGACCTTTGCTACTCCACCTAGAGGTATCTCTAAGCAATCCTGCATCCAGTTGGCTTCCTGGGGGACCTCGTACATGCACAAAGAGACCTACATCTCTGTATGAGACCCTAACTTGTTCCAGTACCTTCCTTTAAAACATTTCAGATTAGGAACTTACGCTCAGGTTCTGGCCTCTCTGTATCCCCCACTCTCAGTGGACGGGGCTTCGGCTCTTCCTTATTCCTTCTCACTGGTGCATTTAGCTCCTCATGATAAACTGAAGGAAGGAAAACATCAGACAGTATTTCAGAGCTGCATTCTTCATATAGATGTATTTCTATGGCACTTATTACGACTGATCTTTAGGAGAAACAACAGAACCTCACGACAAGTGTTCTAGTAATTGGTTTCTATGGATAATCAATACATGCAAGATGGGATATACCAAGTTTCAGAGGCACTATTTCATCAGAAGTCATCCAAAAATTCTTAATTTCCTTCAGAACACAAACCTGACACCACATCACCCCTGTAGGTATGGTCAGACACAGCAGAAGGCTGCCTTTCCTCCAGATGGCTGTGGTATGAGAGGCTCTCCCGGAAATTAATTCCTATCTCCTGTCTACTAAGATCTATGTATGTTTGACCACCTGTCTGCTTTGGCAGCCCGCAAAATGGATTCTCTCAATTATAACCCATCATTTATAACCACAGACAAGGCAGACACTTCCAGCACACGTTCAAGACATAACTTAAAGAAAAAAAAATCTTGAAATTTATGAGGAACTGTCAACTGGGAGTTCAAGAACAGAAAGTTAGGTCACAAGTAATAAGCCCCTCTCTTTGCTGATGGATTGGGGGGAAAAAAACCCAACCAACAGGCACACCAGATGGAGCCTATACATGCATCCCAGAGAAAGAAACCAGACAGCTGCTTGTGTTGATACACAGACTAATTTCTCCTGCACAGACTCCAACTCAACTGACTGCTTTTCTCTAGCAGAGAGGCAGGTCAGACTTGGGTCAGGACAGCCACATGAGACTTACATCTGTTGTGCTGGACATAGTTAACAGCCATGTTTGTGGGAACAAAGGAAGTTTCGCTGTCTTTCTTCTTGTTCTGCTGCTCTGCCAGCAGCTTGGCCTTGGCCTCTTCAGTTGAGATTATGTTTTTTATTTTTGCACTAGAAGAAAAATAAAGAACAAAAAACTTCATATTTAAGAAGAGTAACTACATGTTAGAAACAAATGGATTTGCATGTAGTAATAGTGCTCGTATTGTATTTGGCATAATTTTTTTTTGAGGGGCAGCAGGGCTACAGAAACTTTGATGCTTACATGGTTTGTTTAAAAGATAAAAGTGAAGCTAGCATCTTTCACACATCCTATTCTAATGCACGACAGACATGGATAAACTCCAGGGAGCTGCTGACTGCAGTAACAAAAATGTAAGTGCCTCTTCCCAGAGGTCATGCTGTCACACTGCACTGGAATCCTATTGCTGTGTTTAATTTAACATGCAGTGCTAAACACCCCACCAACCCAGACCAAGACTGAATCCCATCACAGAGCCAAATGGGGGTCATATAATGCAGCCACACCAGTGCTCTGCCGATCAGCAGCTTCCAATCACAGCCCTCATCCCTGTAACTCAGGCCATCACTAACAGATCTGTGAACAACATACTCAATTCCCAGGTCCACTTCAGGAATGCCACTCAGCATCTGGTTGGACAGCATCTCTTCAGTCTTCTTGGCAGAGGAGACACGGATGTTCTCTGGCAGCTCATACAGAGAGTCCTCAGCGTTCTTAAGCTTCACCTTCTGTTCTTCATTCTCCACAATTCCTTTTCTCTTCTTCAGCTCTGTCTCAATGTACTTCATCCTAAAGAATAATCCACGAGGGATATGTGGTATTTAGTTCTGTTTTCTGTACTCGGTCCTAATTGCTGAACACAGCTGCATCACTCTCCCAATGGCTAAGAGAGACATGAATCATTTCTCCAAAAGCAGTCAGCTAACATCAAGAGCATAAAACAAGATATTTGCAACTCAGATTAAGATCTTCCAGGCTCTTCCATAGCCATCAAGGAAGGCTGCTGCTGGTATTTAATGTTACCCCACTGGCACCTCCCAACTTTGTTCATGAAAATGCCTTCTCAAGTCTGGCAGCCAGAAGGTGAAAAAGCAGGTGAGAATCAAGGAGATGTTCTGAGACATTCAGTATCCAAGATAAAATAAATAAACAGAGAGGATACCCAACCCAGGATTCAACATCAGACTCCATGCAGCTCGACTTACATGTCAGCATCCTCATCCCGCCTGTTGGTTTCAGCTGAGAAGGAAGTTCCCAAGTTCAAATCTTCCTCTTCATTAATCCTAAATGAAAACCACACTGTTGCAGTTGTTTTTTTGTTTAACTAATTTGACAAGCAGCCAGTGAAACTGCAATATATTAAATTCTTCAAAGCAGTACAATTCTTGGTTAATTTATTGCTAGCTGTGACTTACTTCTAGTCCAGGGAAAGATCTTTAGAGCTCATATGCACTCACCTGTCCTTGCCCCGTTCTTTCAGTTTCTTCATGTCCACCATCCCCCCGGATTTTATCTTAAAAGGGTCATCCTGTAGCAAGATAAAATACAAAACCATGAAGCTCCCCTTTAGTTTAATGCTAGTCTTCAAAATCTGGATAAAAGTGGAGAAGAAGCATTAGGCTGTAAGAAGCAGACTCCTACAGTGCTCAGTTGGAGCACACCAAAGTTTTCACATCCTTTCATCTTAGCAATAAAGCGATGAAAATATCGAGCACTTACCACAAGTGTTGCCTCTTCTTGCAGCTTCTCTCCCACAAGCAGAGCTACAGCACTAGTTAGCCATAAAGAAAGAAACAAAATTCAGTAGAAGGAAATGCATTACCAACAACGCTGTCTTTCTTTACCCTTCTCCAGATCTATCAGGTCTCAAACACTTGTATTAATACTATACTGACAATTTTCCCAATCTCTCCCTACAGGCAGGGGAACTGTGAGAAGTCCAGGCAGAGAGATTTTAGTGCCTTGCAATGAATCACCTAAGTAAGAAACGAAGCTGGCTGCTGGTCACGTTTCAACTACTGCATCAACTGCTATATGAGAGAGAAGGAAACTAGGGAGAAGATATGAAAGGGCCCAAAGTAAACCAACTGCTCTGCTATATGTACGGTACGGAAGCAATCTGACTAAATACATCTCATGATAAATTCTGAGTCTTTTTTTTTTTTCTTTTCCCATAGTTAGGACAACAGCACAGACTTTGCAGGCTGGCACCACATTCCCATGTTCCTGCACTTGACTCACCCCCCACTCCATCTTCAGACTTTGACACAAACTCCTCTGCCACACACACACCTCTGGCACTATGGGACATGGAGCTACTTCTACATAAAGCAGGTGGGTGCCAACAGAAGAACGTGCTGCTGCACGACACTGCCAGATAGAACACACCTTCACACCCCTTACCTCACCCCGTTGGGACGCTTCCTGAGGCTCTGCACTTCTTTGGCTTCCTCGAGTTTTAACCTGAAGAAAAAAACCCAAACCAGTGGCCTTAGTGCTCAGTGCCTCGGTTTCCTTTAATTCACCTTGTTTAATTTCCTGCAGTTAACACCAAACCTTCTACAGTGGTTTTGCCCTACGTTTCTGCATATCAGTGCCTCCTTTTCTGGTCGGAGGTTAAGTAAGCATTTCCTCTTGTACCACACTTAAGCAACCCACCTATTAAAGCAGAAGAAGTACACAAGGCAGCTCCTGCCCTGCATCGCTCCTGCACAGCTTCCTCAGCTGAGGAAAGAACGCAGGGCACGGAGCGGTGCTTGGCAGCGCCAGGCAGCCCCGCAGGCCCCGTCCCCTGTGCTCACCTGACCTCCTCGGCTAGCTGCTCGTCCTCCTCATCCTCCTCGGGCTCCTCCCTGCGCCGCCGAAAGGCCCTGCAGGCCGCCATCGCTCGGACCCCGCTCCTCTCGCTCGCGTCGCGGGATGATGACGTCACCCTTCCTCGCCGACGCCGTTCCCGCGGCCTGGCACCCGGCACTTCCGGCGGCGCAGCCAGGAGCCGAGGGCCGCCCCGCCCCGCCCCGCCCCCAGCCCGCCCGGCGCCCGCGGCTCCGCTTGCCCCACCGCCGCCTCCCGCAGCGCCGGGCGCGGCCTCCCTGGCGCTCAGCCCGCGGTGGGGTCGGGCCCCGCAGGTGAGAGGGGCGGCCCGGGGATCGGCGTCCCCCGCAATAGCCGCGTGTCACGGCGGTGCGCCCCGCGCTCCGCGCTGCCCGTAGGCCCCGGGGTGGGCTGCGCTGCGCTCTGCGGCCCTCCGCGTAACGGCGGCGGCTGAGGGCTGCGGTGCAAGTAGGGAGCGAAGAACCGAGCAGCGGGAGGCGGTGGGAGCTGGCGGGGCTGCGGGGCGGGGCGGGCTGCTGTCCCATACGGATGATCGGCGGGACGGACGGACGGACGGACAGACTGCTCTGCGGGCGCTGCGCTCCCATCGCACGCCGGGGTTTTTTGACGGCGGAGCTCAGCGCTCCGGCGGGGATTTATTGTGTAACTCCGAGTTTCCTGAGCTGCGCTTGGGGGCAACGCGGCCCTAAGGCCTGCGCTGAACGCTCCTGATGCTCTCCGTTGTGGCTGGGAGGTGAAAGTGACGCTTCTCGTTTTATTTAGAAAAGCAAACTCCTGGCGGGAGCATCAGCATCCCGGCACGGGCGGGCTGAGAGGCGCAGTGCTGGTCTCGGGTAGGGGGCTGTAACAGTCCGTAAGGCCGTGCTGTGCGCTCTGAATACAAAACCCCCGTTTGGCTCAGGTGGGGGAGCTGAAGCGGTCCGGAGTTTTAAAACAAGGTTTTGTTCATTCGATTTTCTGGGGGAGGGAAGGGAGGGGAGTGAGGAAATGGGAGAAACCGGAAGAGCAGAAATGGCACGGATAGGTGGCTTGTTTTAGAGTTGGGTCTGCTGATGTGTCTGCGAAAAGGAGCCCATTCTGATGGAGGAACACGGAGCCTGAAAGTGCCCCAGTTCTGTGTGTCAGTCACAGCACTGCGCTCTTGGCACTTGGCTTCTAAATCCCTGTGTGTTACGTGGCAGCGTTTCGTTTCCCTGTGAAGCTCCTGAGCTCTCCCAGTTGCTGTTAAGCAGCTCATCCCAGGCTGCTGGGATGCTGCCCGCAGTCACTGCTGTGTTTGCAGTACAGAAATGTGATTCCTTCCAGTTCTTCTTTGCTCTTTCAGTTCAGGAGTGCTGCAGAGATGCTGTTATAAAAGTATCTGTGGGATTTGTCTTGTGCTGGGCAAGCTTTTCAGCTCCCAGGATAAGAGTTGCTGCAATGGTTTATGTGTTTATCCCCTTTGTTATTATTATTATTCTCCTGCTGCCAGTGATTTGGATCAGGTAGCACTGGAAATTCTTTTTAATGAAATGAGAAAACAGAGAGCAGAGGCCGTGCTCCTGGAGTTGTTAACTTCCTAAGTTCATCCGAATTTTGGGTTTAGTTTTTGTATGATTTGAGCTTTTCACACCTTCTTCCCTTCCAGCCAATAGCAATAGTGTGGATCCCAGTCTGTGCTGTTAATATCACTTCTACTTTATTTTCCCCCTTTTCATTTTAACAGCCCCAAGCGAGGTTACTTGAGCTACGTTTAGGAGAATGACCTTTTCGTCTTCTTTTTACATCTGCACATTACTGAGGCATGTCTGCAGTCTTTAACACACCCGTGGAGCACCATGAAAGTGTTTGTGGTGCTCATAAGCACGCAGCTGAGAAATCCTCTGTGCCTGCAGCGCTGTGCAGAACAGCTCCATCGGTCTTTGAGAGTTGTTCAAAACCCACCTATTGAATGATAAATTCCTCAGAGACTGAAGATGGGGTATCAGTTAGAGATCTTCTAAGTCCAATTCCCTCTTGTGCAGCTTCATTTAAACAGCAGTCATGTTTTTAATGCCCCCAGATGCCAGGTACTTGTCCTGGGCTGCTGCGCCCTTTTGCTTTTAATCTAAGTTTCATGCAACCAAGTTAATTAGATCTGCATCTCTTTGTGCTGCGTGTTTATGTTTGGCAAGAGGAATGAAGTTCAGATCACCACATTTGTTTCCCCACCATTTTACAACCCAGTTTCTGGGAGGTCAGGTGTGGGTTTTGGGTCTGGCTGAGCGTCTTCCTGCTCACTGCTGAGGTACCAAACACTGCCAGTCAACAACAATATGGAACTATGAGCTGAGAGCACTGCGTCACACGTAGATGTGATTTGATCTCTTTGAACCTTACATCTTAATTTCTGATTTGCTGATATAAAAACTAGGCTAATTTATCTTCTTGCTGTCTGTGAAAGCAGTTCTGACTGTAACAAAACAGGGCTGTCCTTACTTGTCCCAGGACAACACCTTCCTGCAGTGAGAATGGAGGATACAAGAGACATCTGCCCTCACCTGGATTCCATAGGAGAGGTGACCAGGGATGATCTGCTGCTCAAATCCAAGGTACAGGGTGTTGTGGTTATCAGCCCCTTCCCTTTTTGCTGCTGTACATGCTTCTGCATGCTTGCTCTTCATAGAAAACGCTGCCAATCACTGTACAGAAGAGGCAGAAACTCTTTTTCCACCGTTGTTGTACCTTGCACATGGCCCATCAAGTGAGCCTTTGTCAGTTCCATCTGGTGCATTTCTCACTGATGTTTTATCCTGCTCAAACATGTCACTTATCTAACACACTGCAAAGTGTGTCATTGGAGGCATGGATTTAAGGAATGGTTTGAGCTGCAGGCAGGGGAGGCCTGCCACATAGAGGGGTTTCTCGCTCTTGAAGGATGGGGTTCCTTAAAAGACAGACATGCAAACAAACCTATTTTTTTTTAATCATGAATATTCAGGGAACTTGCCAGTCATGTGGAGCTGTGGGACCAAATCTCTGGGCTTGTCTTCAGGTAAGAACGGCTTGCTGCTTGTGTGGATGATATGGTGGGACTTCTGTTCAACATATTCAAAAATGTATTGGACCAGAAAAGAAGAGATGGAAGCAAAGCTGGGTGTACACAATAGAAATATCCACTGCTTTTTGATGGAGTCCAAGAAAAAGTCTCCATAAATTAAAAGCTAATGCTGTCAGAATATATCATGGTGTAACAGTGCTCTTTTCACAGCTGGTTTTTCCCTGATAGCCATGGTAGGAATGCCCTGCATTGGGTGCCTCTGCTGGCAGCTGCAAAGAGAAGCTGCAAGTGTGAGATCTCTGAGGATGGTGTTTGGGGCAGTGGGGCAGAAAGGATCAACAAGGGGCATTTGGGTGGGCAGAGGCAGTTTGCTTTGACATTGGAGTACCCAGACTTTTGGAGTCTGGTCAGATGAGCCTGTTGGAGCAGTTAGCTTGGAATGGGGACTTACGTGGGTGCAAACCTGATTTTGGGTTTTCTTTCTTAAATTCATCAGTTCCAGTTATCTGTCTTATTCTGAGCCCTGGAAGGAAAAGCAGTCGAGAAGAATAGCAAGATCAGTTCTGAAGCTGCAGCTGTTGGTGGGGTTGGGGCTGCACCCATTTTGTGAAGGGTTTCATTTCGTGTGCCATTGTAGTTTTGCTCTTTCTCTCACTAGATCGGCTGTCCTTACGTTGGCTGTGGGGAGTCCTTTGCTGACCACAGCACCCTTCATGCACAGGTAAGCATTTCACTACAGTCCATCTTAAGACAGAGAGGGCTGAATTATTCCCATTACTTAATCCTTCTCTGCCCAAATTCGGTTGTTGTGTGCTTCGAGTTCACCCAGCTGTCAAATCATTATCTCATCCTTTTAATTTCTAGGCCAAAAAGCACAACCTGACAGTGAATCTGACCACTTTTCGGGTCTGGTGTTACGCCTGTGAGAAGGAGGTGTTCCTGGACCAGCGGCTGGCAGCGCACACGCAGTCGCCCTCGGTAAAGTTCAGTGAACCAGGGGGTGTGTGGCAGCCTGGCAGGGCTGAATGCTTGGCAAACTTTGTGTTTCCTTGTTGCAAAATTAGCCAAGAAATTTCCACTGTTGCCCAGGCTGCTATCACGTCAGGAACCCTTTCACTGAAGGTGGCTGCCTGTGGTCAGAGGACCAGCAGCTTTGCCTTGCAGAATCTCCCTGCAGGAAGGCTTCCATTGACTCGAATATCCATTTTGATTTTTTTCTTTAACCTCTCCTGGCTTCTTCTGGGGGGTCTCTGTTTCTGGGAGGAGCCACAACAGCTGTGACAGCTTCATTTAAAATAAAAAATCAGCTGTCAGTCTCCACACGTGTGTACTTGTAACACTGCTGCATGTTCCCAGTGCCTCTTTCGTCATTAATACTGGAAGCAACAGGGGTGCCATTTCCATTCCCTGCATGCATTACTGAGAAGGACAGGCAGTACAACTGGTTCTTCTCTTCTGAGTGTGCCCTTTTAAAGGCTGGCTAAGTTTACATCTAAGATATTTACAGCTCAACTTTTGAAGCAGGACTCTTGCTGATGGTTATTTTCTGTCTTTAATTTAGGATTCTCCATTGCCTGCTCACCCTTTGAAAGCTGTTCCAATTGCAGTGGCTGATGAAGGCGAATCCGAATCAGAGGATGATGACTTGAAACCAAGAGGTAACTCTGCATCAAGTTGATGGAAGAGCTGTGAGGGTAACTCTGCAATCTGTAGGACCTGCACTGAGAGGATCCTAGCAGCAGAGTGCAGAGCCCAGAAAGGGTCCCATCATCTCTCCTTTGGGAAAGAATACAGAAAGCAGCACTTCTGGAAAGTGTTTCATGCTTCTCTTGTTTGTGCTTTAGGCCTTACTGGAATGAAAAATCTTGGGAACTCCTGCTACATGAATGCAGCACTTCAGGCTCTCTCTAACTGGTAGGCACTAGGGCCTTTAGTCGAGTCTTTTACTAGACATCACTGCGTATCAGCAGAGGCACCTCTGATCTGACACCTGCCTTAGTTGTGCAAGGATCAGCCAGGCTAGCTTCAGAAAAAGGAACATGAAAAATTTAGTGTTTGGGAAAACAGAAGTTCTGCAGTAG